GAACATTGAAAAAATGTTTAATTATTTTGTACTTAACACAGCAACAATTTGGAAAATCAATGTTGATTTTCTCAAATAATACTTTTAGTAAATCAARTATATTTTTCAATATGTTTTCAGACAGAAATCACTAGTTGTCTACGACTATTACACGATTTCAATAAAATTTCTTCTTCATTCATTCACAAATAATTAAAAAAATTGCAAAAAATAACGATAAAACTCACAGACTAACACTCACTACATATGTTTTTTTAAAACTGTCTCACCTTATCAACTACCGAGACTCACCTTAACAACTACAGTGCACTCTGGACTAAAACTTTATTTCTTCCACATTTGGCGGACACTTATCGTATACAGCGTTGGTTCTCCTGTGTTTCTACCTCCGTCACTTGGCACATTACTAGTCCGCCATCTTGATTACCAATTCAAGGAATAAAACTAACTAATTGACTTAAACGAAACTAGTATTTTAAATAGTTGGCGCCAGATTCGTTACTTTCCTTCATAACTTTTTGTATATGCTGTTGATATTTTGAAATGATTAGGTAAATTTTAAAATTGTTTAAATATGACAGAGGATAGAATTATATATATTTTAATTAATAAAAAATAATATATGAATTCACAAAAGGCCAGTAGTTAAAATATAAGGTTTCCATGATTTAACTGAATTATACAATTTAATGCTGACACATGTACACTTAATTATTATTATTATAAATAATAATTATTAATTTTAGTATTAAATTACTTATGCGTTATAAAGATAAAAGCTTTTATTTATTATAAATAGATAAACTTAAATCTATAGAATATGAAAGTTTCAAATTGCAAATGATACAAATAAAATACCTTATTTCATAGATTCTAATACGATCATCATACTTGATTTAATACAGTTATTTTTTACGAGTCTTTATTTACACTCACACCATCTTCTTTTATGATCTGTTCTTTGGTAATGCATGATTTCATTGATAAAACAAAATTTATCCCAATATTCAAATTCTTTCAAAAGAAAGAATTATTATTTTTATGTAGAAAAATAATTTATTAAAACTAGAGATTAAGAAAATAAGATTTTCATGCTGACAATATTTAGTTTCATTTTATTTAATTATTTATTCAATAGATTATTTAAAATATCCAAAAATATGATAAATGCTGTCAGAATATTTTGGTCCTTTCTTTTGCATTTATCAAATTTTAAATATTTACCTAATAACATAATCAATTATATTAAATAAATCGATCAATAATCAAATCTATATTATGTTTTAACAGTTATTAATTCTTTATATATTCTCTAATGATAATTTAAATCTTTTCATATGCATTAAAGTATTCATAGTAATTTTTCGTAATCTGGAGCCAATGAAATTTCCCAAATTTTTGAAGAGTTTGCTTTTCATTCTATCACTTTTTAATACTAATTGGACTTGAAGTGGATTATCTTTTTTTTCAAATATACACGTAAAATCTAATTTTAATGGTTTGTAGTCTTGTCTTTTACTATTCTTTTCTACAAGAATATCCGATATGCCAATTTCCTTCTTTAAAGGGCTGCTAAGAAGATCAGTACTAACTGTACAAGATCTCCTATTAAGCAATGCTGAGTCATTTCCCGTACAGTGCAACAAAAGCTGTTGATGTCTTTTTGTATGTACATCAGATAAAACTTCAACTTTTTGTTGTTTAGTTTCATTGTCAGCAGAAAGAATTTGCACTTGTAGTTTGCACACTTTCTCAAAAATATCTTTCACAATATTAAATACTATAAAGTACCAATTATCCTTTTTATATTGTTCTTTATCAATTATGTCCTCACGATTTTGAAAATTATTTGGTAAACCGACATTTACATATGTGCCAGAACATATTGTTAACACTACAAAAAAGTTACTGATTTCTATTTCGTAGTCATACGTAAGTAAATTTTCTAAAAGATTTTTGTAATTGTTATCTTGAAATGATGTACATATGTCTGCGCTTATTTTGCAATTTTTTTGAAATAATGCTATTTTTTTTGCATATATAGAACCTACACTATTATTATTTAATTCAATTGGATCTTGAATACAAGCACAACTACTAACTTTAAGCTTAGATTCTTCTTGCATAGCCATTTCCTTATATCGATTCATATAGTCTGGCAAATTGGAAGTATCAATAAATAATTCTTTTGGATGTGCTATACCATCTCTAGGACAAATGATATTTGTTTTGAAAGGAAAATTAGCATAGAAGTTGAAAAAACCTGTCAGCAGTTGTGGAATAGTGCTACGATTGGTAATCGGTGGTAATACCGCATTTTCATCAAAGTTTACTTGCCAACCATCAATAATTATAGGTTCACACGTTTTCTGGAGTTCCATTAAAGGTGGAAGTATCCTTGTTTCCGGTTGTTGTAAATAAAATATTATTAATAATAATAATGCATAATTGGATATATTTCCGCTACCTGACATTTTACTTTGTCTTCCCCAAAATTTAATGATAACCATTAATGGTTTTATTCTTTGATCAAGTGAAAGACAGTGTTTTATAAGATTACTTTTATATATACCAAAAGCGTTTTTAAATGAAATATCACAAGAAACCTTATTCGGAACAAAATAAAATTTTATAATTGGAGTCCTTGCTTTTAGTATTGGTAATATATTCGTAAATACGTTATTCATCTTGTACATTACATGTTTAACATCTCTAAACACTTTTTTCGTCATTAAACCATTTTTTGATTCACATATTGGCACACCTAGAATAAATGTAATTAACAGTAAAATGTATATTATTAATATCTCACCATAATTTTAAGCTTATTAATATAACTTATAAATTTACCAATATCCATATAAATATCCAAATCGCATTCTTTAAATCCTAGTCCCATTTGTGTAGATCCAAATCTGTAGGATCGACAATTTGGAAATACACTTGCAAATTTTTCATCTAAAAATTTACAGATGGATTCATATCGTTCTTCAACTTCTGTATCACTAAGCAGTACTGTATTCAAAAATGTTTCGAGTTGTATTTCAAATGTAGTTTCATTATTAAATATACTCTTTATACAATCCAAATTTACAGCTTCCGTTGTCTCTGTTACATGATTATCATGACGTCTTATTGAATCTTAAAATAAATGTTTAATATTATTATTTAATATCATTTAACAAAATAGAATGTAAAAAAATATATATATGTATATATAATATATCCATACCATTATTATAAAATATTCTTTTTTGAATATTTAACTTTGTATTATTTAACCAGATCGGATTGTTTAATAAGTATTCCGCGGGTTCTCTTATAAAGGAAAGAAAAGAAGATAATGTACTACAAATATTAAACTAAATAATTAATATAAATTAATTAATCAAATTTTCTTATACCTATTTTCAAATTCAATAATAACATAATGCTTTCCCATTTTGTGGTTTGCAATTGGCCCAAATTGTAAAAAAAACTTCAATAGTTCATCCTTAGGTATAAATTTTGGTATAGAAGAAACAAATATAGAGTGTTCTATAATCCTTTTTTGAAATTCTTTAAATTGACATTGTTTTAAATGTTTTTTTCCTGATAAATGATTTTGGAATTGAATATTATTCAATAATTGTACTGAACAAACTTCACAATAATTTTCCATGTTTTATAAAATTATAATTCATATATTATGAAATATATATCTATAAATTATTTCATTAAATATTTTGTATTTTTAGTATTTAATTTAAGTTCAATATCTCCTTCTCTTTTGTTTCAGCTTTTACCAAATATTTTTATATTTATATTTCTTATAACCAGTAGAAATTATATCTGTATTTTTCTTTTTCATCAAATTCTAAATCAGTTTTCCATGCTTTTTCTTTTTTTTTTAAATTAATGTAAATACAAATATCCAATCTTCTGTGTTATCCATGTATTATATTAGTTTCTTTAACAAAACGAATAACGTTTCTTCTCAAACAAGGTAAATCTTCTGATTTTATTTTATTATTCAGAGAATAAAGTGTACTTCGATTATATCGAAATAAAAACACTTAAATCTTCTGATATTCTTCAATTATTCTGATTAAAGTTGATTTACCGATGTAAAAAGTTCTTCTTTGTTATTTCCTAATCTATACGTGTAAAACCACAACTCATAGAAGAATCATAGTTCATTTCTAGCATGAGTAGTCCTATAAGGTAGAAAAATAAATCATTTTCTGTCATCTATTTTGTCACTTATAATAATAAAAATAATTATCAATATTTTCTTTTAGTTAGCTTCAAAAATGTGTAAGTATATCTATAAGATTGTATGTGGTATATGAAGATACACGAGTAACAAAATATATTTTAAATCATATATATATATAAATTGTACGTATTTGAAGATTTACACCACCTTTAATATTTCTTTTTTTAGAGCATCAAAAGCTAATGATAATATAAATATGTAAAAGTAAAACTAATCACCATGCTCGTGTAATGTAAATAAGAAGTATGAGATAAAACATAAGAAATAAAAAATAATACTGTTATCAATTTAATTAACGAATTAATATTCGAATCGTTTTTTTTCCATATTATGTACTTAAATATGGCTTTAAACAAACTCTATACTACAGTAAAATGTGTAGAGGACGTATTATATCGATTAGATGGCAAAATATCGAATGATCGATTGTTCTTATTTTCGATAGTAGATATTCAACATGTGTTAACTTCTCTCGATAGTTTATATATAAGATTTTATTTTATTTAAAGTAGATAATACAAAAAAAAGGAAAATGTCAACGCTTGCTAAACTCACTTTTGGAACGTGTTGTCTATTATCTGCCGGCATAATAGGATACGTACATTACAAACAGGAAGATGATAGGTAATATTAACTATTAATATGTTTTGTCTATTGGAGGTTATGTGAGTTTATTTTACTTTCTTAGAAAACGACTTCACGAAGGTGTATTGCGAGATATCGAACGACAGCAGCGCCGGAAAATAGAAAACATCTATAATCTTCAACAACAAATTGATTTGACGAGAGAATTACAAAAAAGTGTTAGTCGTGAAAACAATTCTTAATATTATCGAAGATTTTAATAGAAATAAAAGGTCAATTAATAACGTGTATTTTTATCGACGACATTTTCCATTCTCCATTTCGATTTTTTTTTATTTCCAATGTTACTTGTTATTAATATTTAACAACATGGCAACGGATGAACCTGTGGATCAAACTGGTATATTTTTTTTAAGTCAATGTTTTTAGTTTTAAGTTAATATTTTATTATTAATATTAAACTATACATGTATACATAAGATTAATATATTATTCGTAAATAACGTTGCATATATTCAAATCCCAAAGTTAATGTATTAACTTTCTAGTATTTATTTTTAATATTTCTACTAACAGATTTGACTTGCGTCGAAGAAAGTCTTATGAGTTTAGAAAAACTAGACAGAGCATCGCCAGACTTATGGCCAGAGCAAAGTAAGTTAATTTTACATAATTATACACTTTACCTATCAGGTATTGTTTATTCATTATAAAAGCATAAAATACCATATATAGTAGCGACCGATGAAGTTCCAGGTGTAAACGAGTTTGTAGCTCAAAATTCTCCTCAGTTAGAGCCATCTACTTGGGCATCTTTATTAACCACGGATGATTTGAATCAGTTACACCGTAAGTAGATGCTGAACCGATATCAAATTTTAATTATACATATCATCATGTATTAAGATGATTCTTCTTTTCAAAGAATTGGGAAATTTATCTATGACAGGACTTATATCAGAAGTTAAAAAATTACATGATTTAGCTTATCAACTTGGTATGGAAGAGGCTAAAGAAATGACACGCGGCAAATATTTAAATATATTTAAACATAAGTTATAGCAGAAGTAATTATTGAGATTTAAATGGAAACAAATGAATGTAATATATATAGATATATATATATATATATAATTTGTGTTAATTAAGTTTTAAGGTAAAACTAATTGTCATTATTTATATACATATAAAATATTTAAAGATTTTCTAAAAGCCATCTCGTATATTTTTTTACATCCACAAAAACCACTGGTAAATTTGATTTGTCATCACAGTTGGAGCCATAGGATAGAATTCCTACCTGGAGATGTAAAGTAGATTAGCTAAAATTTGTCTTTATTTTACGTTATATATTAAACGTATATGTTTATGAATAAAAAATAATTGCTTATACCAAAAAATAAGTATCACTATATTTGTACAATAGGGGACTTCCATTGTAAGCTGAACAAGGTTCTGTTTCTCCGCTAGCACACAATTCTACCGAGTATCCTTCATTTATAAAATCTAAGCAGTTTTGTTTAGGTAACAATACCATTTTTAATTCTTGTTGTATATTTAACATATCTGAAAACAACGTTAAATATTAAAACAATGATTACTTTCTTTTGCTTACTTTAAATACCTTTTTGATCCGATAATCTACCCCAACCAATCAATACAGTATTTGAACCTGTTCTAATATAAATTTCTTTGGGTAATAGACAAACAGGTTGTGCTGTTACTGTGTACAAAATTTATATTTAATTATAAGAAATGAATTTATTTTTAATTTAAATATCTATTTACCTTCAAAATGAATAGGTCTTTCTAAACGAATTAATGCTATATTATTTTCAAAATTGTCAGCACAATAATTCGGATGTTTTATTATATAGGATATATTATAATGTCTAACTTTATAACCACAAAGTAAGGAATTACAATCAGGATCTGTTTCGGTGTTAAATTCTCCAATAGTTACAACATACCTATTCAAAAATAACGATTAAACGTTTAATTCATGCATTTAACTCTTCTTGAAGTGATATTAAATATCTAAGGATATATTCAAGTGTATACAATTTGTAGATTTGAGAATTAGCAAGAGCACAGGAAGCTGTAGTTACTATTGCTCTTTCACTTATAATTGTACCACTACAAGGATATTTGATGTGTCCTGTTTGCAAATCTACCATCAAAAGAAATAACATTGAAATTGAAATTTTCAATTCATGGTATTTCAAATGATTAACAGTGTACTTACTTATGAAACCAATTCTAGCTAGAAAAGGGTAAGATCCAAAATTATCAATGTTATTTTTAATAAGACTTTTACCACATTTGTAATACGATCTTGATTCTAACAGTGATCTTATGTTTTCTTCATATAATGTTGGATTAACAGGATAACTAATTGTATCGCAACACACTTTTGGTCTTAATCCTGAATAATCGCATATCGATTGACGAAATCTGTAATCAGGTTTATAAGATTTGTACACTTTTTCTTTTTTTTTTTTTTGGTTGCTTATAGAGATGCATCAAATATACCTGTATATTGGAAATTCATTCCTTTTCATACGCATCGCTATATCTGGACAATATTCAAGAAACGTACATTGTTGATTATTTTGACAAAAAAAAGTATTGCCAGTACTTATAGTTATTTGATTCAAGAAAAACACAATTACAATTGATATAAGCATCATTACATTCATAGATATATCATTAGCTAACATTTTAACTTTTTATTTATTATTTCAATTAAGAAGAAATTGATTTGGTAAATAAGTTTATTTTTGAATCCTACCGACAACCGTTATTACCCGTGACAAACGATGAACTGATATCTCCCAATGTACGAGCACGACTTAGTATTTCTATTGGTCTCCTTGACGTTATTGTTATTTCTTCTTCCGCCGGAAATCTCTTTGTCACGTAAAAAGTTATATACGTATTATACGATTCATCTTTTTTTTTTTTTAATACGAGATTAAACGAGGGAAAACAGGAATGAGCTAATAAAACTAAAATCGTTGATAATAGAAGATGACAAAAAAAAAAGAACAGGGATTATCTATCTAACTAATTCTTTCACAGTTTGTGAGAAAATATCAAATGAAACATTATGTAGAATTTATTGTTTATTAACAGTTAGAATTCCGTCTATCGTTCCATTCGATAGAAGTCTCTATGATACCAGAACTTCTTACGAAGTCAACAGCGACGATGTTAGCTGTATGCTGCCATTTAGTGGCATACCAATTGGTGACATTAGCATTGACTTTATCAGCCATTTGACGAAGACCTCCTAATCTGTTCCAAATCACGTCCCACATATTAGGAGTTAATTCCGCCATTGCAGATCTCGGCGTTATTTTGTAGTCCCTGAAAAGAAGATATCAAATTATATTATAGGATAGTTCAGTCAAGAGATAAAGATTATAAAGATAAAGGATTTTTACCGAGCAGTCGATGTTTCGATACGATTAAGATACCGATATAAATCATCGATAGTTTGAACGTTACCCCATTGATGCGTAACGCAAGGCCATAGACTCTCATATAAACTGAGAATTTGTTTTTCATCATAGCCAATAATCAGTCTCCTTTTCGAGGACCAAATTGTATTTAATGTTGTAAGCCAACCAGTTCTATAAGGTAAATAGTAATCTGCAAATTGTTTCTCCAAATATTTAACGAACTGATGATGTATGGATACATTTTTTTGAAATCCTGTTCAAATTAAACGAAGTGTTTAGTTAAATTGTTTCATGATAAATTTAAATATCAATGTGATAATTACCAACGGGAAATTCTTGAACGTCGAAGATCACGATTTCCTCTGTATTATTGAGAAATATTTTTACTTGTTCGATGATAACTTTTAATGGTATTAATCGTATGATTCCATGATTACCCCACCAAATTTCATTCGTGCGTGGATAATATCCTACTCTGATGTCCAAGTATCTTACCCCGTATATCAATTGCGCGAGTACGTCTATGTCCTGAAAGCTATGAAAAGTCTCGAACGTTGCTCAAATCGATATTACTTAATTAGAGGATTAATTATAATTGAATATATGTATTTTTCTTCACCTGCGTTATAACATATTTATCAATAATGTCCTCTTCAGCAGCCAGTTTGTGGATCGCGTAAGATGCCGAATCGTGAGTACCTGGTAAAAAGATTTTATTCATTCTAAGAGGACCTAGAATATCTTTTCTTTCAGCCATCCAATTAGGATACGTCTTAAGACAATTCACTTTCCTCAGGACACCATTTCTCAACCAAGCAACGTAATAATCTAAATATAAAAACACAGTTAATTCCTTAAACTCGTCAAATTGATAAAAATAAAAAATAAAGATATCTTTTTGTTAAAACGTACTGAGACATTGTCCTTGGAAGGTCAAATTTTTAGTAGGTAAATACTCAGCTTGAATTCCTGTATTCTTTATACCACTCGATGATTTAGGTTCCAAAGTAAAAATCGGTTCTAATCCATTTGCTGGATCATCAGTGTAAAGTGCGATCTTGTCGCTATCCGATCGATACTTTGGATGATTCCAATAAATTTCCAGTTCACGTATCATTGATTTTGATATAATCGGTGATATAATTAAACTTACGTGAGAATGCTGAAATTCTGAGATTGATTCGAAGTTGAATTTTTGTTGAATATCTTCAAGAATGAAAATATCTTCGTATATAATTTTAATAATGATTTAAATTATTACCATCACCGTTGTTCGAGTTACACGTTTTACTTGTTGTAACACCAAAAATCATCAAAAAGTATAGAAGGATTAATAGGATCATTTTTTTTTCCTCTTATATATATATATATCCTTGAGCTATTCTATCTATTGAAACTTGTTTTATTCGATTCGTTCTCACAATGTTTTGAAGTAATCAATCGCGTAACGTTGAAACCGCAAGGAAAGTGTCCCTTTCTTGAATACTCGATTTCGTTATAGAACTTTCGTTATAGAACACTTATATTCCAACAAGAGAAAGAAAGAGACTAAATTCTGTTCTTTGCAAAGTTCCAAATTTCATTCGAAGAAAATATGAATGGAAATTCTCTTTCCTTGATTATTTCTTTTTCTTTCTTTCTTTATATTTCCTGATGTTTTTTGTTATCTATCAAATTAAGTAGTTGCCAGTCGACAAGGATAACTTTGTTCGCGTGATTTCCTCAAGAAGACTAACGGCGTGAGACCTACTTATTAGCGTGGTTACGACAACCAGAATAAAACGTTGTCTTGAGTTTCTATTTGAAAATGGTAGACCAGTTTATACATACCACGATTGATGTGCAATGACAAAACTTAATTACAACATTTTTTGCAATCGTTTTTTTTTTTTTTTTTTGAAACAGTATATCTCACAAAATTTTCAAATATTATTTATTTATCATCCGTGTAAGAACAAAGATATCACGTCGTTGCAAGAATCTGTATTTATAATTTGATATCTACTGATTCTCTTTTCTCTGATAAATAAATCTTATATAACATAGTATTTAAAAATAATGATCTGTTTGTTTTAAGCTTGACTTTTTTTTTTCTTCAACGATAATATCACAAATTTCAATCTTATTTACAATTATTTATGTAAAATATACGAATGTAATTTACGATAAAGATAAATTTCTATGTGACTGAAATTGTTTTATTTTTTCTTTTCCTTTGCAAATTTCGATCCTTAATATAAAATTGAATAAATCATTTTTAATTATACTTACTAGTACCAATAAGAATCATTATAGAATTCTCATCATAATTTTTTTTTAAGGATCAACGTATGCGCTTTGCAACTGACGTTGTTGTCGAGCATTACGTGGTTATATTGAAAGAGAAAGGAAAAAGGAAAATGAAGGATGCGAGGTATATATATTTCCAAGAACGATTCTTTTAAGAAATATTATTCACAGATGAAGGACTGGTTAAACATAATATTTCTTCTCTTTTTTTTTTTTTTATATATGTCGAACGAGAAATAATTATCGTAATAAAATAAATGTTTTTTTTCGACAAAGAGATTTAACAAAAAACAAAAAAACAAAATAGAAATTCACTTTGAAATAATTTTGGAAAAGCACAATGCCACCACAAGCACGATTCTCGTTCGATTATCGCACGACTTATGGCACTTGTCTGCTTCATAAAACGTACCATGGTTGGTTGAACGATAATTTCGACTTTGAATGTATTTGTGCATGCATTATATATATACATAAATGCGGAAATGAATAGTCAGACTATTTTTATATGTATTTTTTTTTCTTTTGAATATTTTTGAATAAACGAATGACGCGTGATGCATCAGCAATTCCTAGTGAAATTTTAAATGAACGAGTTATTATATCCAATTACAAAAATAATAATAATAATAATAATAATAATAATAATAATTGGATTGTAAGAAATAAGATATATAATTGGGTTTGTAAACCTTCTTTATTTATAAAACTGGAAAAAAAGAAAACTTTTATGAGAGTAACAAACTTTTGGCTTATGTGACTAGTTGTAATACTCAGCGGCAATACTATATATTAGTGCAATGTTAGGTATGTACATTTTCGTGTGGTCGCATTTATTTATTTCGCGTGTATGTGTATTGGTGTATATATATATTTGTTTGTTTCTTTTCTTTTATATGTATAATATTATTATTATTATATACATATCGAGAGATCGATCAAGAACAATAATTATTTTTCAAGTCTTCTTTTTACGCAAAAAATCGAATGTGATTTATTTCTTTTTTTTTTTTTTTCGGTTTGTTTTATAAATTACGAATTCTACGCACGATTTATTTACGTAAGTGAAATTAAAAAAAAAGAAAAGAAAAGAAAAGAAATCTACATTGTGAAACGATTAACATTCATTTGAACGATTTTCTAATCGATTTAATTTCAATGTGTGTGAATAATTTTTAATAATTAAACATACGTAAAATACATATATGCATATAATTTTTAAAAAGAGAATGTTTGATAAGTTGCACACACGCTTATTTCTCTTATCCGCAAAATCGGATAAATGTATGAAATATTAATTATATTATATATTATTATTATATTATATTAAATATATTTGTTTCTCTCTCTCTCTCTCTCTCTCTCTATTTCTTTTTCTTTCTTCAGTTTCACTCTTGCATACTCTTGAACACTCACTTACATTCACTCTCTCTCTCTCTCTCTTTCTCTCTCCTTTTCTCGTTGCTTATTCATATATGGTATACAATAACTTATGGGTCTCGGAGGTATGTTATATATATATATATATATATATATATATATATATA